GGGGATCTTCCGGCCGCGCTTATAGCAAAGGCCAGATCTGACTGGGGGGACTCATTGTGAACGCTGGTATCTCTGGTGGTGGGGTGGGGGTTGGGGTTGGGGTTGGCACAGTGTACTCACTGCACGCGACCGACGTCCTGTGATAGCCAAGTTTGTTTCTCTTCTTCTCCACCAAAGCGCTGGAGCTTCCGTGGTCTGCACCGTGATGGTGTAACCCGGCGGCGTCGGGCGTCGACATGGACCTCTGGAGCTGCCAGTTGGGGGGCGCACCTGCCAAGGCGTGTGGCGGTGGCGGTTGACGGCCGACGAAGTCGTACCCCGGCGGGTAGGCGGCCCGGGATATCGCTGGGTCCGAGTGGTCATGCATGGGAGGGCCGAAATGATCGTATGACATGTCGGCGATCTGTGGTCTCGTCTGCCAGTGGTCGAACCCAGTAGGCCAGCCGTTGGCCTCCCGGCTGTACGCGATCGAGTCGGTTCCCTCAACTGTGCCAATGGCCATGAGTCAGAGCCTCTGAGCCGCGGGTCAGAACTATGTGTTTTCTCCTGGATGATCGTCTCACAGCCACGATGTTAACCGGATCCCCAGGGCCGGTCTCTGATTTCAATGGCGGTCGTCACCTTCACCCAGCTCGAAAGTTCCTGGTTGGATCGAGGAGGACTAGGGAAGTCGACCGGGACGATGATCCGATCGTTTTCCAGCGGTTCTGCGGGCGCGTGCGGCGGTAGGATGAGCCGATGTTCAAGAGCCCAACAACCACATTCGACAATCTGAAGATGTTGATGTTTTTCTGTCGCACAACTTGGTCGGAAGGGGGGGGAGGCGCAGGTTGGTAATGTCCTCGATCCCGGGTTGAGAGTTTCTAGCCAATGCGAATTGAGTTTCTTCCTCCAATGCACTGGCAAGTCTCTACAATAAACCCAACTACCACGTCAGCTAGGGCTTCGAGAATGGCGAATGGTTTGGGCGCGAATGCTTCCGATGCAAAGGTGGAGAGGCTGGGCAGTGTGAATCTTAAGGTAGCACGGCGGCCCGTCGCGTGGATAGGACGTCACACCAGGCCCTGGTGTCAAGGATCCGAAGGCTAGCGAAACAGGACCACTCTGATAGGGTCGGCGCTCGTTGACTGGAGTAGGAGAGGCCGTTGCTGATGCTGATGCCGCTGGTGTATCGTTGACCTGGCCGTCGATGCCGGNCTAAAAACTTCTTCCTCTGTCTCCCTCTCCATCTCCATCTCTCCGTATCTTCCTTTCGAGCCCCTTTGTCGTAATCGAAGACTTCACTTATACCCAGGTTGAGAGAAATCAAAATTTTATATATAACCCCGGATTTTCAGCGAGGACAGAAGAATACATGTGATCATCAACACCCGCCTTGGGACCTATGTCAAACGATTCAAGTCCTCTCTCACATCCCGTAATGCAATCCAATAACACCTCGAAGTGTCTAGATTTTCATCCCTCGCAATCTCTAACTTCCTGTTTGAAAGATGATGTATGAGGGAGCTCACTATAACCCTCCGTCATAGAGAAATAGAAAGAATATAAGAAAACTCGTTCTGCTCCATCTTTTCCCATCTCTCTTTCCCCCCAAACAAACTGAGCGAAGTAAATAGACAGCAAATCGTCTCCATACAATAATGAGAAGAAAAAGATCCGATGCTATTGCTTGCCCATCCATATACAAAAATCCAGAGAAAAGAGAGATATTAAGAAAGATGATGAGTGAGAGACGAAAAACAGAAATAAGATACAAAAAAAAAGGAGATGATGCGACTCCAAATGTCCTGTCCAGGCTGTCCTTTACCTTATTCCATGAAATCCATAATTGCTGAAGCCCGCCCCCCCCCCCCCCCCCCCCCCCCCCCCCCCCCTCAAAGCCACTTACGTGGTAAGTAGTGTCAGGCTTCCGGACAAAAAGGGGAGGGGGCCAGCTTCCTCCTTCTCGCACCATGTCTGGACGAAGGCCGCCGCCCTTGATAGAAGCACACATTCTTCTCTGCAAGGGGCTGGCCATCATCCAGAGCAATACTACTCACCGTGTATTGCATGAGACGAGGGCCCTCACCATGGTCACGCAATCAGTAAAGGGAGCTGACCGCTCTCCCCTGTCCATCGCCATCGGTTCTCGGCTCATTCCGGTCGTGGCTGCCCAGGCGCCCAAGAACCTCCACCGTACGCCCCCTGAGATCTCATGTAAGCCTGCTGGTGCATCCACTGCATATGCTGTGCCTGGGACGATACCCCTCCGGCGGCTACCACACCACCGCCGACAGGCGACATGATCGGATCCGTGGGCGGCGCCATAGACATGTGAGGCAGGGCATGGTATCCCTCCGGCGCCGGCTGCCCGATGGAGAAAGGCCCGGAAGACCCACTCGTCTGTCGTCCCTGATGGCCTACGGGGACGTACTGCGCCGGATCCTGGCTACTGCTCCGGATGGATTCGGCGCTGTAGGAGAAGGACCGGCCGTCCGCCGATATAGGCATCTGACCCCACGAGAGGTCGCGGGGAGCGTCCGAAGCTGCTGACCCGGGCTGCTCCCATCCCATCGGTGGAGGCGGTACCCCTGGGTCGGTAGCGTTGCTGTCTGCTGGCAGCGGAGAGTTGGGTGGCCGAGGCTGCCACGGGTTAGACCAGCTCATGTTATCGGCTGTGCTGCTACTGCTGCTACCTGCCATCCATTGGGGCATGTGGTCGAGGCCACCGTATGACGAAGAGCCTTTGCGAGGTGTCAGCAGGGGTTCATGCAGCCGCGATAAGAGAAAGCTGAGTGGGAGCGGGCTGTGGTAACTCACCCATTCCTTTATCCTCACTAGACGCTGGTATGGGCATGCCAGCGACGCTGGTCCCCAGTGGTGGGTAAGGAGGCGAGGACGGCGGCTTCAGACTCGAGTTGTCGATGGTACCCCCGGGTGATGAGGGTTCCGAAGGTGGCTCAGACTTGACTTTCAGCGATCCCGAGCCTCGCATGCGCGTCGGGTCGCCGGCGCCACCTTGCTGCTGGTCCGTCGGGATGAAACTGCAGTCCTTTTTCAAGCGAATGCAGTTGGTACATGGTCCGTGTGAATCGGATGCGGACGGAATACACCTTATCTTCCGCCGACGACAATGATCTAGGCCCGAATATCAGTACTCCAAATCTCCTTTGACCAGCAAAAGGGGGGGGGGGGGGGGGGGTGATGGGTTGGAGAGAAAGAGCTGTTGGTTGTGATAAAGTGTACCGGAGTACACAGAAGCCAGGGACTCAAAGAGGAGTACTCCATACGAGTAGCAGGATGAGGATATTGGGGGGGAAGTGGGTACGGATGACGGGCATGTGGCCCTGGTCTACTTGGTTAGGCTGACAGGCCGAGGAAGTGAGGGTAAGTGAGTCTGGGAGAGCAGTAGGCTGTAGCAGCAGCGGCGGCGGCAGAGGGAGAGAGAGAAGAAAGGGTATTGATATGCATGATTCGTAGCACCTTGCTTGGCCTTGTGTGTCTGTTACTCGTTGCCTGTTTTTTTTTTTGTCTTCTCTTTTGATATCATTGGATTATTCCCTGTCTTGAATACTTCCTCTACTGCTCTTTCCCTATCCTGCTCTTTCCTAAATCACGCTCTTTCGTTATTCCGGTCTTTCCCTACCAATTATATTTCTTCCACCCCTGTTCCGCTCCTTCCTTCCGCATGGGTATGGGATCCATGTGTTGGATAGCAATAGCCGCCGTGGTACTCCGTACGGAGAACAGCACCGCTAGTTAGTGGATCGCCAGTAGTAGTGGTGCCGTTCATTGCGGGCATCAAAGATCAAAGCACGACTCTACGGAGAGATATTCTAGTGCGATCCCTAGTGTGTAGTGTCATGTACCCATCATAACGGCCAGCGGCGGGNCAACAGTGATTGAATCTGGGCTCTAGGGGAAGGCAATCTTCACACAGTCTCCGCCTCGGTGAACAGTCACGACAATCCTGAGATCCAATGTTGGGGCATCAGAAAGAATGGCCCTATGATGGGGAGGGGGGATGGTGTGCGGGTGCTCCTGTGTTTCGGAGACAGAGAGGTAGCAAGGACGGACGGAGTTGGAGTGACTGTTGGTGGCGTGGATGCCGTGGAAAAACTATCACCGTACTTGGAATTTTTTGGTGAAATGCAATCCAGGTATCAAAACGCAGAATCAGGAGGGGAAGGATTGTCGGTTCAAGAGGGCACAGGTAAGATGGATGGTGTCAGAAACAGAGAGAGCAGACACAACACGCACACGCAAAGCGTACAGCAGACACTCAGGCCAGACTGGACTTCACTGGTGTGTGTGGACAGCCAATGCCCAGACTGAGACAGTATGTAGTAGCTGATATCCGTCCGCAGATCATATGCTGTTGACCAGGCATGATCCGGACATGGATGCACCTGCAGGGCTAAGTGATGCCCGAGTCCCCAAGGGTAGCTCAGGCTGGGTCCTGTGGAAGCATCAGCGAGGGGGGCTCCATGTCTTGCAACGCCTTACTTCTAGTATGCAATGTTGCTGGCAGCCAGGAGGAGAGCACAACGTACCCAGGCAAGCAGGCCGGTGGTGTCTGCCGTACCTAGTGGTTAGCATGTAAGTTCCTTGCATGTACTCGGTACATCCGCTAGTCGGTTCGCCGGCTGGGTGTTCTTGTTGCCAATCTATCTATACACCCGTCGACACGCCCCCTTGACCTCCTTGACCTCCCTCCTTCGTTCGGTCGCACCGGTAGAGTGATGTGCGCCATCGTGAAAAAAACGGGGTGCAGTAGTGTAATCAAACAAACATAATTTGTTCCCAACGAACAAATGCTTCTCCAGATATCGCCAGAGTATGGGCGGCGCTGGCACGTCCCATGGTGGCCAGACCCCAATGACCTGCCAGTTCTGAAACCAGTGGCCGTCGACGATTATGGGGCATAAGGCTAAAGCGTTTAGCTCTTATTATTTGCTTTTTTTTTCTCCGGTATTGCGCTTCTGGTTATCTCCACTCTGCTGCTCTGTACACTATGTGTGGTAGTATAACATAGACGTAAGTCCAATGTTCTCTGATAAGCTCAGCGTGAAGTACTGTAAACTAGATCGTCGAGCCGTGCTTTCCGCCGGCGATTTTCAAAACAGGTACAAAGACATACGCACACGATGCCATGAGGCACAATATACATGGGAGCCACCAGGGAAAAGAAGAAAAGGCCCCAAGCTGCAGACAGCAGGTCAAACTTATGTAGCCAGTCGTAGTTCATGGAGACGGCCCCACTAGGTCCTCCTTCACCCTAGGGCCGGCATCGAGGCGACTTTTTTCGCATTAAGCTCCCATTTTGGTTCGGGTGGAGCAGGGGGTCAGACCCACGACCCGTGGGGAGTGCCGCTGTGAGTGCCTAGGTTGAAGAGAAAAAAAGACGGGAAAAATGCTTGGCGCACGCATAGAGGTACTCCGTACCTGTACATGTATCTACTACAGGTAGTGGAGACGTGAATGGCCAAACAGCTGTATGCGTACGCAATAATACTCCGCTCTCCATTCACCGTGCTTTGCAGTTGCACGTACGTTACGAGTCGCATGCTCTCGGTCCTGGAGAATATCGTCACTCCCCTCCTCCCCTCCGGGGGCTCAAGATTGGGGGCCGAAAAACTGAGAGGCAGCCACGGCGTACAGACGTGGGACTTGAAGGGCGTGGAGGGGGATGTATACGTATCGCTGTATGAAGTATCATTACTACTCGTACTGCGCACCCATCAGCATCTCGGCACGTAGCAATTGACTTTGGTCTCAGTCGCGCCCTGTTGCCTCAACCCACCCATGTGCGGTTGCATCATGGAATGATGGATGCAGAGAGGCCTTTTCGGTGTGCCCGTACTCGTATGGAGAGAAGAATCGTGCCTGTGGGACTTTCTCCGAGCCCCCGGCATCTGCGAGCCTGCGCCCACGAGACGCAGCGCCGACGCGTGGCGCTCCAACCGGTAGTATTATGTCCAACACCGGTCCCTGGACGTGGATATGCATGCGTACGGGTGTCGGGGTCGGGATAGATCCTGTGACTTATGGAGTGTTGTCGCAAATCCGTTGTCGCAGTCATTGCTGCCTCGTCACTGTGCTGTGCGATGATTGTTAACGTCTGACCTACACACCCACCATCAATTAGCACATATGTACAAGCATGTCATCTAGTCTTAGGCTTTTTGGTCCATGTCTTTTCGATGGCGCGCCACCTTCCGTCGGACTGAGGTACAGCATACCTTTCGGCCACATGTGTGCGGGTACTTGCTGTTGTACTCGAGTGAATTTAAAGCCGTGTCATGTCCGTGCTCGCACATGCCAAGTGTCGTAGCGTTGAAATCGAGGGAAGTTGGCCCGTGTGGTGGGACTGCAAGTACCCCGATACACAGTGGCTCTCGTACTAGGTACACAGCTCTCCAAGTCAAGCCAGGCAGTCAGATATGCATATGATCGTTACCCACATCTGCGAGTAGGTGACCGCCGGAGCCAGCAACGTTGGCTACCAGTGGCCAAGGTTGAGCATGGTAGCTGCGGTATTTAGCTTGTTCGATATTGTTAGCCCATGTAACCAACGTACGACGGAGTTGCGCATTCATGGTTGTAGGCTGTGAAACGAAAGAATTTAACGGCGGACAGTTACTCTCAGCAGCACAAGCATCCGCCCTCACGATAAGGTAATTGATAGTAGGTAAAGAAAGGGGGGGAGGATGGGGAGCCCCGAGGGGGGGGGGGGGGGGGTGATGAGAGGAGAGGGGCGTAGAAACTTGGATTGAGCAGGCAGCCACAACCAGCTCGCACTTTCCCTCTCGTAGACTCTCGTAGGTTCTCGTAGGTCGTACCTACCTCGTCAATCTGCAAGAAGACCGACCTATCCCAGGAAGCCCCTTAGCCCCGCAGTTTGTGGTACCTTGCCGAATAAGCTGCTGCACCTTTGCAAGGAAAGGAGGGAGGACCCGAAGAGGAAGGGGAGAAGGGACGAGAAGGCAATAAGGAGGAATGGGGAGTAATGCTGGGAATAGTCCACGTAGGACATAGGGTAATGAAACGGAGGGTGGAGAATACAAAGTACAAGTAGTTCAAGAAATACGATATATAACATACATAAACAGCCAAGTATCGACAGGCCCTTCTATAAGCGAGAGTAAGAGAGACGGGACAGGGGAGAAGGGGGGGGGGCAGAGGGAGAGAGAGACATACCGAGCAGCCAACATGATGATATATCAATCGCCCGTGCTCGTAGTGTTCACTCGGCCGCCCGTAATACTTAGCTCATACTGAGGGGAAAATATCATGATTTGATGCTGTACCGTCATGTATTGAGATTATGTACTACGTGCGCACCTATGTCCATGTATGGAGTAGTATTATTTCATATAAATGACATACGGGAATCAGACGTGGTAATACTCGTACTGGTGAGAGGCCTGTCTGTACATGTAATCGGCTGGTCGATGTCGGTACTTCCCGCATTCAGGTACATAGCCGTCTCCAAGTCTTTACCCTACTACTACTACTGTACTATCATTTTTTTCCTTATCAATACCAACGCATTATAACCCTAGCTATCACGGAAATGGTATCGATATTTTCTTTTGAACTTCTGACACACATGCCGGGTGCTACAGTGTCCGGTTAGCAGCACGACACTGATGCCAAGCCGCAGTCCAAAGTACCAGAAACGTTCATACGCACCCATATTGACCATCAACAGTCAGACAAGGAGGATCTGGATCAACGTATTCTGTCTGGCACACACACACACACACACACACACACACACACATGTGTAATACACGCACATGTAATACGAATATCTAGACATCCACGGGCCAAGGATCAGGATCATCCACCCACGTCCTGCAATGTGCTCCCCAGATTCGTGTGCGCCCATGACTCGCCCAGTCAAAACACCGTCTACCGCTGTAGTCTTGCATACTTGTACGTTGTCGTACGTATGGCCAAGGTCCAAGCTTCCCGCGATTCTCACCGAGG